CCCCCCCCCCCCCCCCCTCCACCCAACTCCTCGGCGTGTCGGCTTGTTTCGTCCACTTTAGACCCGTACTGATTATCAGGACCCCTAATTAAATATAAGGATACCCGAGTATTGAGAACGGTTCATGATATAACTCCTGCATTACCTATAACAGGGAATATACCATAGTTCCCATAGTTTAGGGTCCTTCAGGTAAAGCAGGATTTTTGTTATCAACAGGAAGCCGTCATTGAGAGCTGCGTGCCCTGACAACTTGACGGTACATGCGAAGCAGAAACCAAAAAAGCGGATTTGGGGTTGATGGCTGTCAGGTTTCGTGTCCAGGCGTTAAGGTTTAGGGTTTAGGGTTTAGGGTTTAGGGTTTAGGGTTTAGGGTTTAGGGGTTTAGGGGTTTAGGGTTTAGGGTTTAGGGGTTTAGGCTTTCGGGGTCTAGGGGTTTAGGGGGATTTAGGGTTTCGGGGAGTACCATTTAAGTTCTATGGCTTCGGCTCCAAGGTCTTGAAGGATTTCGTAAACCCTAAACCCTAAACCCTAAACCCTAAACCCTAAACCCTAAACTTCGGGTCAGAAGCCCAAGCGCTGCTCCTTCCGCTCCGAAGTGCCTGCACCTGTTACGGTTCACCCTGGCCTCAGCATCCTGAGCTTTGGATACCCACCTGAGGCATACCGTTTAGGGTTTAGGGTTTAGGATCGAGTTTTGGTTCTCGGGCCGGGGCCAAGATCTTGAAGGTATGACGGATCACTTATGAGCACGAGCCCTGGAATGCTTGCGTTTAGGGTTTAGGGTGTAGGCATTCAGGGTTTGTGCGGACACGCCCTGCTGAGGCGGCGCTCTGGCTCAACTACTCAAAAGCTGTGTTCAAGCCCGTGGTCGACCAGCCGGCAAGGGATCCGACACCCCAAGAGGCAGAGGTCTTGTCGTACTTCTTGGACAAGGCCGCGGTGTTGGGTCTTTTGGATTCTGCCACCTTGGACTTCGGGTTCGAAGTTGCGGGTGGTTCTTGTGCTGATGTGGTCTGTTTTTTTTTTTTTTTTT